ACAGTACATTTTTTGTTAACCTTTTGTCATATGTCTTGTAGTATCGCAATAATATCGTATCATGATATGTATCGAATCGTGACATGAGGGTATCATTACATTCCTACAAATGAGACTTTATTGTAAAGTGTTACCTGACATTGTGTGTGTACTTTCAGGCGTTTCGGGACAAAATGTGCATCGTGCCAGCAGGGGATTCCCCCGACGCAGGTGGTCCGGAAAGCTCAGGACTTTGTGTACCACCTTCACTGCTTCGCCTGTGTAATGTGCAGCAGACAGCTGGCCACTGGGGACGAGTTCTACCTCATGGAGGACGGGAGGCTCGTGTGCAAGGAGGACTACGAAACAGCCAAACAAAATGGTGAGCTCTTGTCTTCAGATCAGTTTAAATCATGCCTTCTCGAACAATCAATTGGTTGCTCCTGTTATTATGCTGTACATTTTAAGCTCTGTATTTTTAAAAAATGAATATGCATGAGTTATAGGATATCAGAATTTCAGAAATATGCTCAGTAAATGTATTAATTATATTGATTAACACAATGACAAGATAGAGATAGAAATAAAGTGCTAATCTATTACTTACTGAGTGTTAACATTTAACATTTTTAAACCATTTTTTTTTATCATATAAATGTCTGTAATTTTATCACACGTTTTAAATGTTTAAGCAAGGCAAATCAAATAACACTACAAAACATCACAGAACTGTGTCATTATGTCAATTCCTGGAGGATAATTATCATGTGTGACTGTATATATATATATATATATATATATACTTACATACACTACACTATGATCTATATAAGATCTGGACAATATCATTGATGCACTTCTTGATAGAAATAACACTTACAACATTTATTTCCATCAAGAGGAGCATCAATTTTTGGTCAAGATCTTGTATTGACAATGCAAGAGTCCAGCACTCTGTAAAGACTCCTCCAGCACATCCCAAAGACTTTCAATGAATTTAAGGTCTGGACTCAGAGGTATATATATATTAAACATGAATATTTATAAAACATTTAAATCTTAAAATGTATGTATGAGATTAATTGACATGCATTTATTTAAAATAAATATATAATATTAAATATATAATTAATATAAAATAATATGTTATTATAACATTAATTATTATTATTTATATACATGAATTATGTCCATTACCACAGATCCATCAGAACTGTAGGTAGTTGCTGAACTGGCTATGAACTGCATATGCTTTTATATGGCTGCGGTATATACAGTATTTTTTGCCTCAGGCTCGGCCGACGTCACAGGATTGGAAATTGTCTCAATTGGAAATCATTCTGACAGCAAAGTTCAGGAGTGGAGATGGTGTAATTAACTTCTTCTTTTACAATCATAGAGAGACACTGAGAGATCAGAGGAGGCAACAGGATGGTAGTAAGGAGACAAAATCACCATTAACTACAGTCTAGTAGGGTCTCAGTGTCTCGCATATTAAGTCTATCTGTGATCTGACCTCTCATGGATCTGCCTCTGAAAGCCCCTCACGCTGTATTTATGGAGATTTCTGTGGGCTGTTGATTGATTATATTAAGTGATGCAATGCACTTTTACGGTAGGGTCCCAATAACTCGCACTGGCATGCCATTCTCCGTGGAGATTTATTCCCTTTTCCGCCACAGTGTGACAGTTTCAGGGGAGTATCGACTGGCCATGTGTGAGCACTTCCACTCAAAGCATCCCACAAACTCTTCTTTCCTTGTACCCCACAGTAGATGAGCTACTGACATTTTGCCTGATGATTTTTTTAGATGCTTAACTTCTTTGAGTTCAGTTCAGTCCTGCTAATGTCGATTTCAAAATAACCTTTACACATGTTTTCATCGACAATTATTTCAGTTCAGTTAAATGTTGGTTATTATGTCATTTAGTAAAAATATAAAAATAGCTAAAAATATCCTAATTTAGAACTTCTTCTAAACTTCTTCTTTACAGTTTTATTGTTTAATGGATATGTGATGGTAAAGACATTTATAAAAAAAATTTAATAAAAAGATTTCTATTTGAAATAAATGCTATTCTTTTGACTTTTCTATTCATCAAAGAATCCTTAATAAAATGATCACGGTTTACAAAAAAATAAAAATTGAGCAGCACAGCTGTTTTCAACATTGATAATAATAATAATAAGAAATGTTTCTTGAGCAGCAAATCAGCATATTAGAATGATTTCTGAAGGATCATGTGACTCTGAAGACTGAAGTAATGATGCTGAAAAATTGAAATTCAGCTTTGACGTCACAGGGATAGATGTCACTATATAATATATTCAAATAGAAAATAGTTATTTTAAATTGTAATAATATTTCAGAAAATTTTTTGAAATAAGTGCAGCCTTGGTAAGCAAAAGATACTTTTTTTTACATTAAAAAACTTACCAACCTCAAACTTTTGAACAGTGCTGTATATATATATATATATATGTGTGTATATTTTATGTGCAATTTTGTCCATGTTAAAATACTTTCTACCTCATCATAGTATGCAAAGACACAGGCTTTGCATACTATGGCATCGAGGCTCGAATCTGTTCGACAGCCAATAGCAGACGGTGGAAGAAAATTCATTTCTGTTTAGTGGGACAGAAGTGACACACGTTTAACATATTTTTAAAATTGGTGTGTTACAGATGATTCAGAGACAGGAGCAAAACGTCCACGGACCACCATTACAGCCAAACAGCTGGAGACACTCAAAAGCGCCTACAAGAACTCGCCTAAGCCAGCACGACACGTGCGCGAGCAGCTCTCCTCAGAAACAGGCCTAGACATGAGAGTGGTGCAGGTGAGACTAGGACTCAGGGCAACCTAGGCTTCAAAGTGTGGCTGTCTGAGTCCTGACTGAGGCTTTTTGGTCCACAGGTGTGGTTTCAAAACAGACGAGCAAAAGAGAAACGGCTGAAGAAAGACGCTGGTCGGCACCGCTGGGGTCAGTTCTACAAAAGTGTCAAACGCAACCGAGGGTCCAGTAAGACGGAGAAGGAGAGCTCAGCCGATGACGCAGGACTCAGCGACAGTGAGCTTAGTTTCAGAGGTGAGACTTTACATCTCCCATGACGCTCTTTCTCTTTGTATTCTTTTCAAAAACATTTTTATTTCCCTTCTTAATTCCCCTTTTCTTTTATTTTTAACATATGCCACTTGATGGATTGTTTGGAATATTCAAATGAGGTTTTTGGTTCTGCTACGTGTTTTTTTTATGATTATTTCATTTTTGTCCGCCAGTTTTGAGAACTCATAAAAGTCTCGAGCAGCTTTCAAAGGGAGGCTGTGTTTACGAGAAATGAAAGCAGCGATGCACAAACTCTATAAAATTGGTGAAGCTTTTAGTCAATTAGAGAGGAAGCACACAGGGCCTTTGTTGTTAGTGAAAGAACACAGAGTCTGATTTGCGCTCCTGTGCGTACAGAGAGTAAATCACAAATGCTCACCGTACTTCCACAAGCATGTTTTTTTTTTTTTTTTAAATGGGATATTTATGAGGTCTTTCTTATAACTGCAATTCTTCTTCTTCTATGTGTAAGAGTTTCAATACACATACCGTTCAAAAGCTTATAGGTTCAGTAAGATGCCTTCATCTTCATCAAATTTAATGAAACTTTTTTCTATTTTTAATATATTTGGTAACACTTTACAATAAGGTTTCATTTGTTAGTATTAGTTAATGTATTAACTAACATGAATTAACCTTTAGCGACACATTTGTTACTGTATTTGTTAATCTTTGTTAGTTAGTTAGTAAAAATACAGCCGTTCATTGTATGTTCATGTTAGTTTACAGCGCATTAACTAATGTTAACAAATACAACTTTTGATTAACTAATGTGTTACCTAATGAAACCTTATTGTAAAGTGTTACCATCTTTTTTTAAATGTCATTTATTTCTATGATGCCGAAGCTGAATGCAGGATTCTTTGATCAATAGAAAGTTCAGAACAGCATTCATTTGAAATGGAAATCTTTTGTAACATTATAAATGTCTTTGCTGTCACTTTTGATCAATTTAAAGAGAAAGTTCACCCAAAAATAAAAATGTTGTCATCTCACCCTTAAGCTGTTCCAAACCTGTATGAGTTTCTTTCTTCTGCTGAACACAAAAGAAGATATTTTAAAGAATGCTGGTAATCAGACAGTTGACGGCACCCATTGACTTCCATAGTATTTTTTTCCTACTATGGAAGTCAATGGGTGCCGTCAACTGTCTGGTTAACAACATTCTTTAAAATATCTTCTTTTGGGTATTCCTTTAATGTACCCTTGCTGAATAAAAGTATCCATTTCTTCTGACCCCAAACTTTTGAACAATAGTGTAGGTGTATTTTGTAAGAACAATCTTGACAGTGATGTTGTGTGCTCTCTCTAACAGAAGACCAGATCCTGTCAGACCTGGGTCACGCCAACAGCTTGTATGGAAGCATTGGAGACGTCTCGAACGGGAACATGCTCAACGGGAGCTTCTCCCTGGAGGGGGGCGGGCAGCCTTACCATGACCTGCGGGCAGGAAGTCCCTACGGCCTGCCACAGTCGCCCTCATCCATCACTTCCCTCCCTGGCCACACCCCGCTGCTCAACAACTTAGGCTTCAGCATGGACGGCATCATGGGTCAGGGCGGCCAGCCCAATGTAGGTCAAGCTCTGAGAGCAATGGCTGGAGGACCCACCTCTGACCTGTCGACAGGAAGTAGCACGGGCTACCCAGACTTCCCCACTAGCCCTGCCTCATGGCTCGATGAAATGGACCACTCCCAGTTCTGAGGTCAAATGTCAAAATGGAAAGTGCGGTACTATGGACGTTTGAAGATTTTATAGACATCTTTCCCAGAACTGTGGCGAAATGTTTATGTGGCAAGGGTATTTGGTAGGCCTAAAATGGCAGCTACTTCAACCTTGCTGAATGGCGTGCTGATACGAGCAACCCATCGTGGAATGTCTGCGCTGTATCATAATTTTGTTACTCGTATTTTTTCATTGTTCTCAAAACTGGATTGGACGATTTCCAGCATGAAATGGCGTGCGGCTGAGAATGGCGTTCAAACCCCAGACCACCCTGGAAAAACAATCACGATCCACCACTTTCTGAGAACAAGAGGGCCCATGCATGTTTCCGAATGAGGAAGAGAACCGCCCACGTTCAAAATGGCGACGCACTTTATGTTCCTCCTCGACTGCACACAGCAGGCTGAATACGGTAAAGAGAGGAGTGCACCGAGCAAGGAGAGATATTTAAACAAGTGGCACAAGTGTATCTTTCCTACTTACAAGGGTTTGGGATTTTAATAGTTGAAACTTTCTAAACGGCTCTACTAGAAGTGGCCCTTCACGTTAGGTCTGAAGAATAGATAAAGATTATTTTTTAATAAGGACGAATCCGCATGCACTGCTCTGAATTTTCAAAAAATCTCTGTGTCAATGGTCCCTGTCTGTTCAACACTTTTCCGTTAAATTCAGGCATCCTGGATAAGCAATGAAACAAAACAAGCTGGTTAAAAGTTTCAAATAAAAGTTCATATTTATTTCCGTCACTATTTAATATACAAGGTTGGTATAACCATCAAAATACTTTTGTTTCCCATTGCTATTCTTAGTTGTTGCTCCATGAGCAAAAATAAAAATCATACATGCATTAGAATGTAATTTATTTCAGAGCAGATGACAGCAGTGGAATTTTTTTTTTAAATCAGAATATGTGATTGGGCCATTACACAGACACAAGTATGGCCTGACCAATTATTATCAAGCAAAAAATGTGAAAGGGAAAATTTCTTATCTAACACATTTAGCAACAACTATGAGGATTTTGTGTTATTTATTCATGTTATGGGTACCAATGTCAGTATTATGAAGAGTTGGATTATGGGAAAGAGTATGTGTTGATGTAAAACTATAAAACTGGTGACACAATTGTAAACAATTTTGTTATTGCAAAATTTGGACCCACATAATGGTGACTGAGTAAAGATGACGCTGCTGAAAGAGTGAACATAAGCTAACAAAAAGCAACATGAAAAAAAAGACAGAAAAATATCCATTCAGAAATGTTTTTTTAGTCTTAATGGCTGTAAATTTTGTAAAGTCTCAAAAGGTGTCGACAGTCTTGTCTCATGAGCATTATTTATTGCTATGGATCTTTGAAAAAAAAGAGCACTGAATTTAGTCCTATATGCCTTCTGTCCAATGGTATGAGTTGTGTACAGTCAAATCTATATGGAGAAATAAAGCCGAATTGTCTTTGGGTTACTGCGATGGTTCTTTTCTTTTTACTTCACAACCTTTTATTAATAATGATTATAAAGTTATACACAGCTATAACAGTTGTTTTTTAATAGTAAATCAATTATTTGATTCTCATTCAAATAAACAAATACACATAACGCAAAATAATGGCATAATATATGTAAAAACAAAATGCATAACCTCTTCAGTACACTAATTTTGTGTTGAGAAACCTCCCATGTAGGCCTATTAATGTTTTGAACTACAAAAAACATCTACATGTGCCCATACATTGGGGTTATACACCAAGAACAATGGAATAAATAAAAAAATCTGCAAATACTAGGCTATACCACACACACACGCACGTGGAACTTTCAGACGCACATCTGTTCGCCGGCTCCACAAGCTCATCCTTCTGCTTCCACAGACTGTAGCAGATTGCTGTTTAGTCAAACCTTCCCTAATCCCCTAAAAGGTTACCTAATTGTAAACTGCTCCGTGAAATGAGGACAAGCAGGCTGCCTGATGTTCTCAACGGCCAGAAAACACAACTGTGAGTGTGAGGGAAATAACCACACTCAAAGACTTTAGGCTATCAGTCTCGTGGGTTTGATCGGATCTGATATTTACGAAATAGAAATATATTATATGCTATAGACAGAACCACAAGGTGCATTTCAACTTTTTTGCGTCCCCAAACCACGTCCTAAACTATCCGATTCATAAAAACGTATAAAGAAGGCCAAATTGTATCTAAAATATAATATCGTTAGATTGTGTATTCAGCTTGCGTTTAGCTGGAAACAGTATCGATTTTCTGGTATGAAAGCAATATTTATGGAATAAACCTGAAAAGAAGGACTTTAATAGCAAAACAGTCGCTCTTTGCAAGGAAACACGCCACAAACAAGCTGATTTCACTCAGCCATTGATTGGGGCTGCCGCGGCCATTAATGTACAGCCTTTAATAGTTCAGTCTTACAAAGATAAACAGCGACAAAGACAGTTGGGATAATTTACACGCCACTTACAGCACTAGTATACATATAAATCTGAGCAAATTCCTGCACTGTTGCTTTTGCAAAGATGACAAACACAAGCGCAAATGCCATTATCATCGATCTGCGAGCTTTTATTACGAACTTCCTGCAGCCAACGATTCACCAGCCTCCCGGGTGAGAAGGAATAAATTAACATGCAAATAGTTATTCAGCCTAAATTTAATCTGGGCTGCATATACGGGGCATTTTTCTCTTGTGTCTGATGGCATTCGTGACATGAGTTGGCATTTTAATTCAACAGCCATACAAATAAAGAAAGGTCATTTTGCACGGACAAACGGTTAGTATAACTGTAGAGGTGTAATGGGCACTATTTTAATTTGCATTTTTATATAATATAGAAGCCAGCTCTTAAGTTGATGGCCTATACGCACTAGAATGGCCTCTGCCTTTGATTGACTGGAACTAATGTTTATTACTCAGCTCTCTCTGAAATAGCCTATTGATTCTGATTGGAATCTGACGTCGTCAGAACACGTAGGCCCCGATTTACTCACAGCTAAGTTCTTTATGTTCTTCGTTTAGGGATAAAAAGAAGTTCAAAATACCTTTGCAGCGATAAACTGTTTTAGCGAACATCCCGTCGCCGCCTATACGCTGCTGAGCGCAACGTTTCAATGAATATGTAAATATGTGCTGCTCTCTTTCCTCTCAATAACAAAATAAACACACAACAAAAATAAAAACAGAGAGAAAACAGCAGTTAAGAAAGCATCTGGTAATAGAGATATGGATGTTTGCACGAGCTCTGCAATTCAACACTCCAGTCACTTCACGTTTATTTAATATTGCTCTTTATACAATAAAATACTTTAAATCAATACATTGAATCATCTATCAGACACTTTTATCCATAGCGACTTAGGCCTACAAATGAGGAGAACAATAAAAGCAATAATAGGGCAACAATATGTAAGTGCTGTGATTATTCCCTATTAAGCAGGTCATTCCACCAGCATGGAACAGTCAAGGTAAAGGTCGGTGAAAGTAATTTTGTGCTGCTTTGTGATGGCACCACAAGGCGCCGTTTACTTGCAGAATACAAGGTTCTAGACTAGAGAGCACATGAGTCTGAAGTAGTGAGTTTAGTTATAGAGGTGCAGAACCAATGGTTGTGTAGGCAAACATCAGTGCCTCGAATTTGATGCGAGCAGCAATTGGCAACCAGTTGGGTTAGCTGAGACCAACAAGCAGTTCTGTCTTTGCAAGGTTGAGTTTAAAGTGGTGGTCCTTCATCCCTCAAGAAATGTCTTTCAGGCAGGGTGAGACGTGAGCAGCTACCGTCGGATCATCTGGCTGGAATGAGAGGTAGGCTAGAGTTGTGTGTCATCAGCGTTGCAGTGATGGGAAAACCATTTTTATGAATGACAGATTCTTAGTGATAAGTAACATGTTGATGGAGAAGAGAAGTGGTCCAAGGACTGAGCCCTGAGGCACCCCAGTAGCTAGATGTTGCGACTTAGATACATCACCCCTCCACGACAGCCTCAAGTAAGACTTGAACCATTAGAGTGTGGTTCCTGAGATGCCCTTCGTCACGAGGGTTGACACGAGGATCTGGGAGTTAACTGTGCCAAAAGCAGCAGACAATGAGATCCAGCAAGATAAGTACTGATGATTTGGAAGCTGCTCGTCTCAAAGCTTCAATAACCGAGAGCAGGGCAATCTCAGTTGAGTGGCCGCTTTTGAAACCAGACTGGTTGTTATCCAGGAGGTTGTTCTGTGTAAAAAAGGTAGATACTTGAACATGGAAAAAACAGCGTCCATGTTGCCTTCAATTATAATTACACGTCAATTTCTAGTATAAAGCAGCTCTCCAGTGTTTGTTTTCACTTGCGGACTTCTGACCTCGACAGACTCAACAGAGGAACTGTTGAACTGGAGAAGATGTGTGATTTTGTTCTCTTTAAAGCTTTTACGTGTCTTAAAAAAGTGGTTGCTAATTAGTGTCTAAATGGGACTATAGAGGTTGTAGGGGACAATAAAAGCCACAACTCATCTACTTACTAGTCCGCTTTCACAGCCTCTTTGTTTATAATCTCAGTCTTGCAAACTAAAAAAATCCCCAACTAAAAAAATCAAAGAGTTGTTGGATTAGTGATGGCAACATTAGTGTAGTTTGTTTATACTTTTAGCTTTCCCCTTTGGCAATTGTTTTTAGACTTTAAAAGCCATAAGTTTCTAAAGATTATCATGAACAGAACATTTAAGAATCATAAACATTTGCTGGTCACATAGCTTATTTTCTGCAATAATCCAGGTTTTGGTTGAGGGAACCAGGGTGATGCCAACTTCCAGGTTGGCCTACAAAAAATGTCATCTCTGCAGCACTTTATTTGGGTTAACTGTCTGAAACCGGCACTACTTATCATGTCTATTGTATCACTCTGCCGATTTGCGCAGTCTTGTTTTATACAATTGCAATTGGAACCATTTTCAGTTTTAATATTACTTTAGTATTGCTCGAGTCTTTGTCTGACTGTACTGTATCCCTTACATATAGCACACCGAGCACCAATATTTTAACTACAAATTTTTTTTTTTTTTTTTAAATATTAGTGGGATATTTTTCAATATATTTTGCTGGCTGGCAAATTCTAAGCAAGGCTGGAGTAAAGCATTAAATTAAGAGTCGTCCAGTACGTGCCATTCCATTTAAGCTGGACAAGCAGCTGAATAGCCGGAGAAAGAGATAGACAAAAAGAGAGAAAGTGAAAGGGACGGACAGTGAGAGAGAGAGAGAAAGAGTGAGAGTAACAAACCTCCACCATCTGGCACTAATGGTGTTAGGGAAGCATCCAGAGAGGCGACTTGTAAAAATGCATAAACGTTAAGTAAAGAAAGCGGAGCAATATGGGACATGATTTTAGAGGAGTCCATGTCAAAAGTGAAGAGCTCAGTGGGAAATTGAGGCACATAATGGAAACATAATGGGCTTAGTGTCACTGTCGTGCAGACAAGCCCACGGAGGATGCCGTCAGCGGCATTGACCCTCCCCCAACTCCAGCGGATTTATGGAAATTACCGGAATAAGGGACAAACAGCCTTTACAAACAAACCAATACCATAATTCCTGCCTGTCTGTGGAATAACTAAAGTGACTGGCAGAGGATCTTGCTGTCGGGGAGGAATGCAGCTCTGCAGGCCCAAACCCAGGCTAATGTTTATCACTCCTCCACTTGAGCCCCCTTTTTATTTAATAAGTCATAGGACGATTTAAGGTGCAGTCACGTAAGCGCTATGTTTGCAAAATTTCATCACTTTCAAAACAAGCATCATTCTGTCGGTCAACAAGGAATATTCACATGACCAAATTGAACATGAGGGGAATCTGCATGGAGAAATTTATCGACCTCACGTGGAACACACAAAAGTGTGGATTCTTATTGAAATGACTGGATTTCGCCCACAAAATTTCACAGAGCAATGGTAGATATGATTATCCCATTGTTTTAGATAGCTTTGAGTAAAACAAAGTTTAAGGATTCCTATTTGTTGGTTGTTTGGAAAATGTTCAAAAATACTAAGTCACCCAGTATATTTGTGTTCTTGAAGCATAAAGATTCAAATAGCCAAAAATTCAATGATAACAACATGAAGACATTGATCAGAGGTACTTCATGCTATTAACTCTCCAGAGACCTAACATATATAGTATAAAACATATATAATCGTGCTACATTTAATATTGGATCCAATGAGAATCAAAAAGAGGTTCTACTATCCATCGATTCAGGTACTGTAGCTCATCAATTCTTGTGCTTATCAAAGTTTTATGCCTCAATGTTTCCCCCCAGTTTTTTAAAACCATTTCTATGTCATTGTATATAATACACAGCACATTGCTTGACATCTACCATGATTCGGAAGCACTATTGTACATTTTATTGTCAAACTTGCTGTATATTGCAGTTGAAAACCAATGCCCTTCATGCAAAAATAAAACCATTTTGTAATGACTTCCTAAAGAAATGTGTGCTGATTCTGGTAATGCTATAATTAAAGAACAGTGCATACAGTATGGCAGAAAAACTCTAAAAAAGGAGACACCATGTTAAGGAGATTCCATGTTTTTAATAGTAACAACAGTAACACATTCATTGGAATGTACCATTCTAGGACAGGGAGGACAGGTTTGTCTGAACTTAACTGTTTGAAAGTATAACACTGGTGCTCCACAGCCAAATGGAATGAACTAGAATAGTTCTAAAATGCTAAACCGATCGAGAACTATTGTTGGTTTGACAGCGTGTACCATCTGGATAAGGAGCACAGTTTGTATAAACTTTTAACAGGATGGTGATCATGTGGTTTGGGTTTGATTTTTGGGTTTCACAGAGTGAGATTTAGCCTTTAGGAGCAGTATACTGGCGCAGGAGAGAGGAGATGGCACTAGACTCTGTCACCTCTTCTGGAAGGGAGCCTTCTTGATCTTTGATTGACGGGTCAGCTCCGGCCTTCAGGAGTAACTCGACGATTTCTGCAAACTCACAAGCTGAAGCTAGAGAGAGAAGGAAACACAAGAAAGAAGCATTCAAATACTGTTGGGTTTGTTTGTATTTTGTGCAAGGGAGTCAGTCACACACATACTGCTGGAGCAGCACTTTATGCCCGGTATACACTGTACGATTTTGGGTTGTCCCAGACGAAAGATGACCAATTGTGGCGATTTCTGTGGCCGTGGCTCCTAAACGGTGGTCCTATGCCTTACAGTGAGAGAGGTTCACGGTCTTGCGACCAAAGATAGCCTGTGATAATTTTCTGACAGTGTCAGAAATGTAGCATGCTCATCTCAGTGTGTTTGCTGCTACGACCTACATCTACTGACTAGCCAATAAAATAAAACTTGAAATGGCATATTATAACGCGACATGGCGCTAAAACTTAAAACTACTTACCTCAAGCTCCACTTTGCTCCAATTTGCATGCCAAGTTGGGCTCTTTTCCCTAGCTATGACCACATTACAGCGCACATAAAAACCACAATTGTTAAAGTGCGATTCATCTTGCTCTATTTGTTTACCACTAACACACGCTGATAACGTTTTATTTGTGTCGTAGCCTACGATTCAATAGGTGTCATCATCGTAAAGTCTACATACATGTCGTACCCAAGTTTATTAGATCCATGTCGTACAGTGTGATTTTTAATGATCTTATAGGATTGCCGAAATCACACAATTTGTTGCAGGAATTAGAGGCAAGTGTTTTTACCTTATTATCATGTCAAATTATATGCTTTTTATTCTAATAAAATGGAGAGAATTTAACAATACATTTTAATTCTCATAAAAGTAACTTTTTTTCTCTAACTGCAATTTTTTTTTGAACAGTACACTGCTGAACTGATGAAATTATGCTGAGCAGATATGATAATACATTTGTAATAACATGCGACATGCATGACTATAAACATGTAAAAAAAAATCCAAATTCATCAAATTATTAAAATCATTAATAGGAAATATGTAATCTTTATTAATTAAAAATGTATTGTCAAATCAATTAATCGTGATTAATCACATCTAACATAAGTTTTTGTTTAAATAATATATAGTGCACACACACAAACACATGTATAATTTGACAGCACTATATAGATATACTGTATATATATATATAATTTTTTAGAGAGAATCAATTGCACCACATCACAAAAAATCTAACATTATTATAGTTAACTGAAGTTATTATAGTAACTTTCATTTAGTTTAACTTGATATTCTAAAATAACTCAAACAAAAACTGAAATAAAAATGAATAAAAACTATTAAAAAATAAATAAAAATGACAATGCTAAAATTTCGAAAACTTAAAAATGAAAACAGAAAATGTTAAAGTCCCCCTGTAGTCAATAATTTTATCCCTTAAAACTCACGTTGACGTGATTGGTCACAAGGTAGTTCGTGACGTCAGAAACACCGGTGATTTCAAACTGCGTTTTTGAGACTGTCTTTGGTTCACTGCAGTTTTAAAAAGAAAATACTCAGCAATGGTGTTGACTTATGAATTTGCACATACTTTGTCTTAAAGCATATTAAAAACACACTACAGCATAGACATATAAACAACAAAAGCTTGATTTTCACCACAGGGGGACTTTATAAAAACTAATTCAAAATATGAATAAAACTATAATAGTATCTCAATGATACTAAAATGCTACCAGTTCTTAGGCAACACCCCCATGACACTTTGAAAAGAACTTAAACAGCCCAGTCTTCTCACCCGTACACTTAAAGTGATTGTTACAGTCCATATGACGACTGCACCTGTGGTTGAGCAGCACGCTTGCATTTGTGCCCCATTGGCAGTTTGTGGCCCATTAGGAGGCTGCAGGGCAGGGAGGGCCAGCACTTCTGTAACTCTGTTAGTGTGTCCTGCCACGCTGATGCAGGGACAATCCTCTAAGCTTGAGTGCTTTTTCACGTCTGTGTCAACTACTGCCTTCTTTTAAAAAGGAGGGAAATGCTCTCCTTATTCTTACTCTTAGGTGAGTGGCTGATGTCAGCAGGAAAACCCTGAGTGACAAGAGTGGCTTTTAACCTCAGACCCGCGACCAGGAGAGAATGAGGGGAGAGAAAGGATAAGAAAGAAGGAGGGGGAGAAAGAGAAGGCAAGCACAAGAATGTTCTTCAAGTTTGTGCATGTTGCCATGTGATTGCTGGGTATTGCTAAGCGGATGAATACAGTCTTGCTGCTTAATATTTTTGTGGAAATCATGATGTTTTAAGCATTTATTAATTGAAAAAGTAAGCATTTATTAGAAATAGAAAACATTTGTGACAATGTAAAAGTATTTACTGTCCCTTTTGATCAATTTAATGCATCCTTGCTGAATAAAAATTTTAATTTCTTTAAAAAATGAAACAAAATCATACGACCCCGAACTTTTGAATGGCAGTGTTTTTGGTTTTTTGTTAAGTTTAATTTTTTTGGGCAGGAAAAAGTTTCAACAATTTTATCAAAAACATTTTTAATTAAAATGTGATCAAATTAATTAAAACATAAAAATACTCTTAAAATTTAGAATTACTGAATTAATAAATTGCTTGTGCTTTTTCTCATAAAAAAAGTGTTTTGCTAAATGATTAAATGCAAATGTAGAAAAAATTATTACTTCCTTAGCAAGCTCCACTAGCAAGGAAAGGAAATGCAAGCGTAAGAACCCAAAAATGAAAATCATTTCATTTACTCGCCTTCATTTTGTTCTTGAGTGTAACACAAAAGAGTAGTCGCAGAATGTCCAAGCTGCTATTTTCCATACAATGAAAGTGAATGGTGACCATGGTTGTTCTTGATCCCCATTTACTTCCACTGTATGAAATATCTCTTTTGAATTCCATGCAAGAAAGAAAGTCACACAGGTCTAAAACAACATGAGGGTGAGTAAATGATGACAGAATTTTCACTTTTGGGTTAACGGTCACTTTGAGTAGGAAGCAACAACAACAAAAAAAGATTCCGAATTTTTCCTTTTCTTTTTTTGTTACTGTATTTTATTTTCGGCACGCGTGCGGGTCCTTGGGCCGTAAAGCCCCTCGCGCCTCTGGGGAGCCGTAGAGAAGAAGAACAATTTACAGCGTGCTGTAAACCCCTCAATTAATCATGTGTCAGCCGCATGGCCCCACACAGGGAGAGGTGGAAATGAATTTTCATTCTGTGCTATTCGTCTCTCTGAGTTCATCGCTTATGTTTATTAGTCACTTTTTTATATCCCATCCCCCCATCATTTTTCTGCTCCCCCTCCCTAAGGGGTGCTCATCTTCAGGCGTCTACCCTGCCACACGACCAACCTGAGGACAGATGGCAAACACACACACACACACACACACACACACACATACATACACATAGAGAACAAGGGCCTGGAGGCCGCCCATGTGTAGTGTCACATGACAGAGGAACACTGTTGATTTCCTCTGGGACAACTGGTGATTATTACAGGTCCTGTTTACCACACGTGTGGCTGTGGGGACAAATGTACCCACACACTCACACACAAATACACCTTTCTCCCGTAACACGTGAGCTCAGGTGGACAAGAACTGAATTCATTTTATAGAGATTTCCAGCAAAAAGAGTAAATATTTCCGAACAATAGTGACAGTTAAGTCATTTATAATGTTACAGAAGATTTCTATTTCAAATAAATGCTGTTCTTTTGGACTTTCTATTTATCAAAGAAAATATTAAGCAGCAGCACAACTGTATTCAACATTAATAATAAGAAGAAATGTTTCTTGAGCAGCAAATCACCATATTAGAATGATTTCTGAAGGATCATGTGACTGGAGTAATGATGCTGAAAATTCAGTTTTGCATCAATGGAACAAATTACGTTTTAAACTATATTGACATAGAAAACAATTATTTTAAATTGTAAAAAATATTTCACATTATTACTTGCAATGTTTTTACTGCATTTTCGCTCAAATAAATGCAGCCTTGGTGAGCTTAAGAGACTAAAAAAAAAAAAAAAAAAAAAAAAAAAAAAAAAACCTTACCAACCCAAACCGTTTGAACCATAAAAAAAAGATCACTCATAAAATACTCATCCCTCATTTTGGAAAAACAAACACAAAGTGTGTTTACAGTAATCCATTTACCATGGAAGTCTATAGGACAAGACATTATAAATGGTTTAAAATGACTAATTAATACAAATGTAATAAAAAATTTGTTTTGTTGAAACAGTTATATTAATTCTTCAGAACAAGTATTATTTGAGGTGTAAACTGGTCTATATTGACAATTTATTAATTTGTTATTGTTGACATTCCGGTAACGCTTACCTAGAAAGTACTGGCTAATATAAGGTAAGTACATGGGTTAGGGGTAGGTTTAGGGGTAGGTTCAGGGTTAGTACCTAGTTATTACCCAGTAATTGTAATTACTATAATAAGTACCTAGTATGTACATGGGTAACAGGACTGTAAAAGGAAGCGTTACCGACATTCCTATATGGATGGATTATCATGTAATCAGTATCTGGTATCCTTTAATGCACAGTTCAGTGAAAGATGCATTAAACCCAAAACATTCCTTTACCATAGATGACTTACATTTAAATTGTAAGAATAAAGATTTTTCTTGCCATAGCATAGTTGCGTTCTTACCATAGTGTAGTGCTGTCTGTCCTTCATCATCCTGAGAGAGAAAAAGAAAGACGTTTTGAGTTAGAGATATCAAACCATTCCAACTCTTGTGAAACTCTCCAGACACTTTCTAATCATTATCCATAATGACTTAGATTCCAAAAAGGACCATAAAACAAACAAACGTGTTCAAGTGTAAGCCCTGCCTGTTGAGTTCAACTACCGCCACATGATAGAACCAAAAAGAGGTGATTTGGACTTTGAAGGGATTAGGAGAACAGATTAAACATTGATTTCCCGTCAGATAAACAATCAGATCCTTTAACCTCCAAAGCAGACTTTTGAACAAGTAACCAGGATCAGAGGAGCTTGAGGACTTTGTTTGGGTGGATATATAAACCAGTTTAATATGAACAAGCCTTTGACCCGCGTGCTCAACGAGGCTATGAGGCCATCGTGCTGTATGTGTATAAAGGTCTAGGATGATCTATTCATTGTCCCCTGCTGGGACCGTGTCGGATGGTTTAGCCGCGGGGACTGAGGGCATCACACAACAATAGATCCTTATACAATAGGACCAATCTGCCTGGTGTGCTGGTGACAAATTGCCACACGGCTTGTGGTTTCAGAGGTGCGATGCAGAGAAAGCCATATTTAGGGCAATATTTAGGGATTAAGGATCCTGCATGTGTGTGGATTTAAATCCAGTGGAATACAACACTCAAGGGGTCAGGAAGTTCTGCGGATGATGTGTCGTCAGGCCAAATTATGGTATAATTGCCAGTTCAATGTGCCTTCTCAGCCTTATAATGATGATAAATGGCAGTATTGTTTTGGCTGGGTGGTTGGTGGAGATCATCAGAACCCAATGAGAACTACAGAGAGAGTTTAACGGAATGTTGCACGCTTGTCTCTCTGACACAACATCAACCTGCATTACCCTTCATAGACAATATCATTAGCCAACTGTACAGACTCTTGTACAGAGGATTTGCTATACAGGTCATACATATTTTTGGTCATGCATATTGTTTAGACATGTGAAAGTAGACTTTACTGTAATTGAAAAGCTAACAATGCAACACTAAGAAGCGTAAAAACACATAACAAAAACGAGCGGTTAATTTGTAAATCCGTCAGATCTTACCTTCATGCTGTGAAAATACAAACCGGAAGACCGAACACGAGTATGGCGATGAAAAGGGGCGGGGCTACATAAGGTCTATAAATCACATTTTATTACTACATTCAGAAATAATGTAAAATACCAAAACGTGGAAATGAAACTTTTACAAACAATTATAAATCACTACAAACGTGTATTTCAGTCCCCCTCACTCCACCACAAATCCAAAATGATTGCTAAAATATAAGTATAAAAAAACAAACATAAATTATAGTGGCATTCATTATAAACAGCATTTAAAATAAACACCAGCCTAAATGAATTTAAAACGAAAGCATGTGGGAAATGTGCTATAGAAATAAACTTGGGCTTACACACCGCCCTTATTCAGCACAAATTCAAATGTGTGCACTTTGGAAAGTCGCAGAACATTTTAGATCCTAAAAAAAAAGTGACATTCTGGAAAATGCGGTATAGTAAAGTTATAGTAAAATCTTAGATGGATTTTCTATTGAACTTGTCGCAATGCATTCTGGGAAACATGATGCTGCAAAACAGGCTATTTTGCTGATTACCTTACACACTTATGATCCCTTAAAATGATGTCTAAGTAGGCAGCTCAGTAGGTTTTGAAACCGCTAATATCTATCATATATGGAAGCTTGTTTCCACCACGGAATAAAAAAAATGTAAAAAATCGCAATTACCTTTTTTATTTTTTATTCTGTAAATAAGCTTCCATAATTATCCATAATTATGATGCCATCGTTCAGAAACTCGTTCTTTTAAACTGTAACCAAGTGAAATTTCTTCTGGCCCTGTCAATCAGGTGCTGCTAAAGTCTGAAACCATTGTTCCAAATACAAAAATCGTCACGGCAGCAGGGCCAGGGCTCTCAAACGATCCCAGAGTCAGATGCTATTGTTTACGGAGAGGCGAGAGAGTGACTCCAGAGGCTCTCTGATTGGATTAGCCGGGTAAAATCCCACTAGACGTACAGAATACTGATGCAGTCTCTCTCCTCACCTTTCTCTGATACAGTTACTTCTCTCTGTCCAGGAATACTAGTTATTTACATAATAAAATGCAACAACACAAACAGAAATAGCTTTTTTTTATACACATATAAATACATATTTTTTCTTGTGACGCAAGAGGGATAAATTTTCAAAATGATTTGATGTATATTAAAAAAAACCTTCCTAATATTCACCTGAGGTAACAGTTTTAAACATTGGTTTTACCATAATTACTACAGTAATTTTTGCGACTGTGATTAAAAATGGTGGTAACTTAGTCACTACTGATTAAAAAAAATACTTAAAATGATAGAAAGTGCTATAATGATATACACTCACCGGCCACTTTATTAGGTACACCTGTCCAACTGCTCGTTAACACTTAATTTCTAAGCAGCCAATCACATGGCGGCAACTCAGTGCATTTAGGCATGTAGACATGGTCAAGACAATCTCCTGCAGTTCAAACCGAGCATCAGTATGGGGAAGAAAGTTGATTTGAGTGACTTTGAACGTGGCATGATTGTTGGTGCCAGAAGGGCTGGTCTGAGTATTTCAGAAACTGCTAATCTACTGGGATTTTCACGCACAACCATCTCTAGGGTTTACAGAGAATGGTCCGAAAAAGAAAAAACATCCAGTGAGCGGCAGTTCTGTGGGCGGAAATGCCTTGTTGATGTCAGAGGTCAGAGGAGAATGGCCAGACTGGTTCGAGCTGATAGAAGGGCAACAGTGACTGAAATAACCACTCGTTAAAACCGAGGTATGCAGCAAAGCATTTGTGAAGCCACAACACGCACAACCTTGAGGCGGATGGGCTACAACAGCAGAAGACTCCACCGGGTACCACTCATCTCCACTACAAATAGGAAAAAGAGGCTACAATTTGCAAGAGCTCACCAAAATTGAACAGTTGAAGACTGGAAAAATGTTGCCTGGTCTGATGAGTCTCGATTTCTGTTGAGACATTCAGATGTTAGAGTCAGAATTTGGCGTAAACAGAATGAGAACATGGAACCATCATGCCTTGTTACCACTGTGCAGGCTGGTGGTGGTGGTGTAATGGTGTGGGGGATGTTTTCCTGGCACACTTTAGGCCCCTTAGTGCCAATTGGGCATCGTTTAAATGCCACGGCCTACCTGAGCATTGTTTCTGACCATGTCCATCCCTTTATGGCCACCATGTACCCATCCTCTGATGGCTACTTCCACCATGTCACAAAGCTCTAATCATTTCAAATTGGTTTCTTGAACATGACAATGAGTTCACTGTACTAAAATGGCCTCCACAGTCACCAGATCTCAACCCAATAGAGCATCTTTGGGATGTGGTGGAACGGGAGATTCGCATCATGGATGTGCAGCCGACAAATCTGCGGCAACTGTGTGATGCCATCATGTCAATATGGACCAAACTCCCTGAGGAATGCTTCCAGCACCTTGTTGAATCTATGCCACGAAGAATTGAGGCAGTTCTGAAGGCAAAAGGGGGTCCAACCCGTTACTAGCATGGGGTACCTAATAAAGTGGCCGGTGAGTGTATAAGGGTTTGATTTTACAGTTATAACAATAGCTAACTATGGTATTCTGCCAAAACCTGTGGTTACCATAGTACATCATTGTAAGGGAAACATTGCTACATGAAATCCTTTTAGAAATATATTTTTAACTATAGAAATTAGTCAATTAAGGACAATATTTATGGTTTTTACCCACATAAACACAAATATTAAGAGATCAGAAGTAAAAAATAAGCGGAATTCTCTCTCTTTCTTTCTAGATAAAATTATAGAGTGGCGGATGTTCATGAGAATGGTTGACAAAGGATATGGCGATGCACATAAATACATATAGCCATAATTAAACAGTGAGGGCTTTACGAAACATAATCTTCTTTCACTAATCTTGTGTGCGGGCAACATCTGCATCGGCCCTGAGCTCTGGTTCACAGCTGTCAGCTAGTGTATGGACAAAAAGAGGCAGTGTGGACGGGGACAAACAGGTTGGCTATCACATAAACTGCTATGACTCATGGGAAATGGATTGAGACATACACCTGTCAAATTTAGTCTGTTCACACCTAGTTTATAACACTTTTTCTATGTTTTAGAATAGTAGCAAAATCCTTGTATATTTTAAGTACACTGTTCAATCCTGGGATGCTTTTTAAAGAGTACAGAAGGAATGTAAATGTATGATGGACACTTGTTGGATGCATCTCCTCCTATATCTGATCCAACTCAACAATATAAAAAAAGTCGCAGGCTAATTTTACAATGTTACAAATAAAATAAATGTTCAAATTTATTTGAAGTCCTGTATGCAGCTCTGTGTGTGAGTGCATGCGTGTTCATGTATGTATGTATGTATGTGTGAGCGCATGTTTATATGTATTTATGTGTGTGAGGGGGTCAGGGACTAATGTCTCTAGAGCAGACTGATGGAATCAGGCATAAATTGGATTGTCCTCCATTTGGTTTTCAAGGGAGAAGCGGAAAAGTCAAGTAAGAAGCCAGCATAGCATTTTTACCAAGCAAACTCCTATCAGGACACTACATAGAGAGAAACTACTAGACCTCTAGGTTCCCTTGCGTTGCAGAAAACAAAGATATCACTGAGACACAGAATCCATATATAAATATAGAAAACCAATTCACATCCCAATCTAAAGATGAAAAGGTGGATCACACAAACGATTTTACTGAAAGACAGAAAAATCAGTGGGGTACAAAAGTCTGAGATGAAAACCTGTGATTCAAAATTTAAATTGTAATTTTTTTTACTCTTGTTTTTATGCTAACAATAGCAGCAAGTTCAATTCATTGTACTTTTGTACTTAGCAAATACACAGTTGAAAAGTTTGGGGATTATTTTTGAAAGAAATTAATACTTCTATTCAGCAAGGAC